GCCATCTGCCACCCAGGGAGCAGGCCTAAGCCAGCAGGTGGTTATCTCCCGAGGGGTCCCAGACTGTGAGAAGGCACAAGTGGGGCTGAGGGACACCCCCCCACCCCCCTCCCTCTCCAGTGCACAAATTTTTGTGCACCAGGCCTCTAGTCCTATATAATAAAAGGCTAATATGCAAATTATCCCTTTGGGCGTTCAACCGACTGGAGTTTGACCGCTGCTATGATGTGCACTGACCACCAGGGGGCAGTGCAGAACTAAGGAAGGTCCCGATTGGCCCTGATCACCGGCTAGGCCTAGGGATCCTCCCTATGCCCAAATTTTGTGCACTGGGCCTCTAGTTTTATACATAAGGAAACTGAGGCACAGAAAGATTAAATAACTAGCCTGAAATTACATGGCTGGTGAGTTGGGGAGCCAGGATTTGAAGGCAGATAGCCCACCTCTTAATCATATTACAGATCATACGCTCTCCTATTTAGAACCCTTCATTGTGTTTCCCACTGCACTAAAAATAAAATCCAATTTCCTTCTCTGGTGTGCGAGGCCATGCTTGATGTGGTTCTGGCATGATCTGACCCTACCTATCACTCTCCCCCTCACTCTGCTTCAGATGCACTGACTTCTCATGGCTCCTCAGGCATGCCGAGCACATTCCTGCCTCAGGACCTTTGCATTTGCTGTTTCCTCCACCTGGAATGATTATCCCCCAGACCCTGGTATGGCTCATTCCCTCTCTACATCCACATCTCTGCTCAAATGTCATCTCTCAAAGAGACATTCCTCTCTAAAATAGACATCCCTTTGACACTGCTTAATTTTTCTTCACAGTACTCAGAATTCTCTGAAATGATGCATTTGTTTGCTTCTCTGTCTCTTTCACAAAATGTGAGCACAGACTTGGTTGTCTTATCCACTGTTAGATATCCAGTGGTCAGGTCCAGGACCTACCATATGTTCGGCACCTAATACATAGTTGCTGGATAACTAAGTACACAAATGAATGAATACCCAAGGTCACCCAATTGCTAAGTGGCAGAGCCAGGACCCAGACTGAGTTGTCTGATCCCGGAGCCTATGCTCTTAGTCACTGTGCTGTGCTGGCTGGTTCCAAGAGATCTCGGGAGGTTCTGGCAGCACGATGAATGTGAAACCACTTCGAAAATTGCTAACTATTTGAAATCAATGGATTATTATTATTATTATTGTTATTCATTTTACTGTTTGCTCATCTGTGAAATGGGGATAATAATATTCTGGCCTACCGGCCTTCAGAGAATGTTTTGTGGAGTGCCAATGAGATAATGGATGGGTAAACATGTGCAATAGTTAAAGGCTCTACATGGTAGAAGGGACTGTAAAGATTATTTCCATGCCAGTGGGCTTCCCAAGGCTCCCATCCTTTACCTCAGGTTTGACATTAATATTGCTGACAGGAGAGGGGGAGGTAAGGGGACACGGGGGACTGAGGGACTCTACGTCCCAGTAATTAAACATGTTGGGACTGAAGCGCTGCCAGCGGCAGCATCTGGTTGCAATTACCAGAGGGGACTGAAGTGATTAGTCACCTTTATAGTGAGAGCCAGGCCGGTCTCCTGGGCTCCTCCCTGGAGAGGGCCTTCTAAGTAAGCTCCGAGTCCCCTCTCCCTGCTCCCACCCACTCTGGGGTCCCCTGGTCTTCAAACAATAGCCCCTGATCTGAGTCCTCCATATTCCAAAGTCCCAGCTCATTGGATGAGACCTTGACCAAAAGCCAAGAATACCGCAATTGCCCCACTACCCTGGGGCAAGTTTTTTTTACTTCTTGTGTTTCTAGAGGCCAGGTTGGGATTCCTTGGTAAAAAATGTGTCAAGGCAGGAATTAGGCTCAAAAAGTAATTTAACCTTTCTGAACTTCAATTTCTTTATCTGCAAAATGTGGGACTAACAGTATCTTCATCCTAAGGTAAAAATGTTGTGGGGTACCAGGACCCAAGTCTAGTTTACTAGAGTACGTGCTCAGTAAATAGTAGCTGTTATTAATGTTTCCCAGGCACTAGGCTAATCACTTTTTATGATTCATTTCACTGAATCCCCATAAAAACCCCGTGAGTAGGTACTGTCATGATCCTGTTCAGAGTTTTAGACAGGTTTAGAGGTTTCCAAAGATCACACAATGCACTAACCAGTGGTTCTCAACCTTCCTAATGCCGCGACCCTTTAATACAGTTCCTCATGTTGTGGTGACCCCCACCATAAAATTATTTTCGTTGCTACTTCATAACTGTAATTTTGCTACTGTTACGAATCGTAATGTAAATATCTGATATGGAGGATGTATTTTCATTGTTCGCGACCCACAGGTTGAGAACTGCTGCAAACCATACAGCAGAACTGGAATTCACAACCAGGCCTCTTGTTCCAGAGTCCTTGCTCTTTATCAAACCGGGTGCAGGGGCATATTGGTGCTTGGTTCATTCATCCCTTCATTTATTCACTCACTCGACCTTACAAGTTCCTCGTCAGTGGCAAGACAGAATCCCTCTCTTTAAGGAACACAGTGTCCAGCAGGGAAGGCAGGGTGCGTCTACAAATAACTACATCTGAAAGCAGAAAATGATGGCTTTCATATATAAGGCCAGTTAGAGATTTATTCATCCATACAACACATACTGAGAATATGCTATGTGCTGGGCCTTGTGCCCAGTGCTGGGAATAATTGAAAGATAAATATACTACAGTCTAGTCATAATCTAATGAGGGAGACAGATATGTAAATAAATTATTACAGTTATGAGGAATTAAGTTATGATTTAAAAAAATTATATGGCCCTAGCTGGCTTGGCTCAGTGGATAGAGTGTCAGCCTGCAGACTAAGGGTCTTGGGTTTGATTCTGGTCAAGGGCACACGCCCCGGGTTGCTGTAGGGGGCATGCAGGAGGCAGCCGATCAATGATTCTCTCTCATCATTGATGTTTCCATCTCTCTCTTCCTCTCCTTTCCTCTCTGAAATCAATAAAAATATATTTAAAATATGAAAAAAAGTACCCAGAGTGGAAGAAATGAACTGTGTTTGAGACAAGGGACAGGGGCAGAACTGGATATCTTTGAGCTACCAAAGTGGAAGGGAGCACAGAAAATGTGTGAAGGCAAATCAGAATGTGTGTTTTCTGGCGGATGAGGACAGTGAAGCAGTGGGAATGGAGAGGAGGGAGGAATGCCAGAGATGACTGCATAAGTGGGGACAAGTCCAAAGGGAAGCCAAGTGTGAACCTGGGAAATAGGAGGGATCGTCTTCCTCAAAGCTTCCCCAAAGAGTGCCCGTGGTGCATTGGTCCTTTGAGTTGGGGTGGGGGAGTTCTACCCGGCTTCTGACCTAGAAGCACCAAATGAAGCTTGAAATGGCCAAGTTCTGCTGCTGCGCTCTGAAGATCTGCAAGGATCCAGGAGCATCACAGCCAAAGGGCTGGTCAGGCACCTGGATACCCCAGCTGTGAGCTTCATCTTCCATTCATCAAACACTGTGCTGCTTCTGCTCTGTGTCAGCTTGTGCTGGAAAACCAGTCTGGTGACCTTCGAGCAGTGATGGCGAACCTTTTGAGCTCGGCGTGTCAGCATTTTGAAAAACCCTAACTTAACTCTGGTGCCGTATCACATATAGAAATTTTTTGATCTTTGCAGCCATAGTAAAACAAAGACTTATATTTTTGATATTTATTTTATATATTTAAATGCCATTTAACAAAGAAAAATCAACCAAAAAAATGAGTTCGCGTGTCACCTCCGACACGCGTGTCATAGGTTCGCCATCACTGCCTTAGAGTGTGAACAGCTCTCTGTTGGGCAGGCTCCAAGGATCTCAGATTAAGAAGGAAGCTTGCCTGACTGCTGCTTCTGCCCCTGCTACACCTCTTACGTTGTGACAAGTGTTGTAGCGTAATGTACGAGAAGCGGTCATTGGCTTTGTCTGGGGATCCGGGAAGGCTTCCCAGAGGAGGTGAATCTTCAGGGTGAATTTCTCAGGATGAGGAGGACTTCCTCCAGTTGTGGAAGTGAAAGGAGGATATGCCAGGTGAAGGGAACAGCGTTCCCACACGAGTCCAGCTGGAATTCAGAAGTCTCCCAGAGCTACCAGAAACCCATCATGTGGGAAGTCATTTTTCCAGCCTCCTGCAGGGGCCGCTGCTGCCCCAGGCTGGGTCTGCCACCTCTGGACTCAACCAGTCCTTTCCAACAAAACTGTCTTTCCTGGGGTGGCAGTGAGGCACACCCTGGACATACCTCTCTCCAAGGAGTGGGCTCCCGGGTGGCAGTGCCCTCCAATGCCCCTGAAGAGATCATCTGAATCCAGTCAGTGGCGTTTGGGGGAGGGGTGTGGTGGGTACTGATAATTTTCTGTCTCTAGGTCACCACAAGTTTATTAAAATAAAAGACACTGTGGGTAAATGCTGCCATCTGTGCTGCCCCCCAACAACAAATCAGGCCCCAGACTAGACGCAGGAGTTGAAACTGCTTTTAAAAACACCCCAAGGACTTAGCTGAAAACCCACACTCCCCATGTTTGGGGGCTTAAGATCCTTGAGCTCATTCCTCAGCATCGCTCCTCAGGAGGGTGGGGTGGGCTGCCCTGTGAGGTGGAGGTGAAGACCCCTGAGTCTGTTCCATGGACTGAGGGGCCCCCTAAGCCTAGAGTCACGCTTCGGGGCTCTGTGCCAAGAGCCCCCGTGAGCCATGGCCTCGAAAGGGCAGCGGTGATTTTTTTCACATAAATATATCGCACTTAAATGAGTTTAGACAGCATGACATCAGAGAGTAATTAAATTGGTTTGGGTTGAAATTCCGTTTCCAATTCCTGAGTTCAGGTTTGTAAAAGATTTTTCTGAGCACCTGCAGGCGTGTGTGTGTGTGTGTGTGTGTGTGTGTGTGAAGTATTTTCACTGGAAAGGATTCAAAACTTAAAAAAAAAAAAAAAACTGGAGCACACAGGACACATTACGCCATTCTTCCTTCTTGGAAAAATCCCTCAGCCTTATACAAGCCTCCTTCAAGCCCTCAGTCAGTTGTGCAGGAGAAAGGGGGCGGTCGGCTTTCTCCTTTCAAGAACGAGTTATTTTCAGCTGCTGACTGGAGACGGTGCACGTCTGGATACGAGAGCATTTCCACTATGGGACTGGATACAAACACACGCCCGGCAGACTTAAAGAGTCTCAGACTGAGGAGAAGGCCTTTCCTGCTGCTGCTACTGCTGCTGCCGCTGCTTTTGAGGGTCCACTCCTTTCATGGTTTTTCCTGCCAAACCAGAGGCACCTTCGCTGCTGCCGCCGTTCTCTTTGGTGTCATTCAGCGGCTGGCCAGAGGATGAGACTCTCCAAATTCCTCACTTTTTTGCTTTGGCACCTGGCTTGGCTGGACCTGGAATTTATCTGCACTGTTGTGGGGGCCCCTGACTTGGGCCAGAGACCCCAGGGGACCAGGCCAGGATTGGCCAAAGCAGAAGCCAAAGAGAGGCCCCCTCTGGCCCGGAATATATTCAGGCCAGGGGGTCACAGCTCTGGAGGGGGAGCCACCAATGCCAGGGCAAAGGGGGGCACCGGGCAGGCAGGAGGCCTGACACAGCCCAAGAAGGATGAACCCAAAAAGCTGGCCCCCAGATCGGGTGGCCCTGAACCCAAGCCAGGACACCCTCCCCAGACAAGGCAGGCTGCAACGCGGACTGTGACCCCAAAAGGACAGCTTCCTGGGGGTAAGGTCTCCCCAAAGGCAGGAGCTGTCCCCA